GGGGGTTGGGGATTTATGGTGGGGGTGTTAGTGGTGGGGTTTCAGCAAGCACGGGCTTCAGCAGACGTTGACAACAACATACCTGGCTTCCTGCAAACATTGATCTTCTGCCCGAAAACTTTGGAAAGAGGGGTGGGGGTGTTAGTGGCAGGGTAGGGACGGTACTTCCCACCCAAAAACTTTGAAAAGGGCGGCCTATGTGGGCTGCCGATATCTCGAGATCAGCAGTCCAGATAGGCCGCCCTTTTCAAGCCTTTTTGGTGGGCCTACCAGTCCCAGTCTGATTTTTGAAGGCCTCCTCGGCCCCAAAAAAAACGGTAAGACCCCCCAGATTGGATGTGCTACGGCCCCTTGGTGCTTGTCACTGCTGTCTGGTCCAAGCTGTCCTCGATACTGGTAGGGTGATGGTCATGACTGCTGGTCTCACTGAGGTAGGATAGTAGGGATAGGGGGTGCGCTGGTAGTATTAACGTGGGGAAGGGTAGGGAACGTGGCCTATCCTGTCAGGACAACCACTGGCTGCCGCTGCCAGCGGTCACTGTGGGTCTAGTCCTTGGCCTCTACAACACCCTGGCCTTAAAAAAAAAAAAAGATTCGCTACGGCCACCCGTGGGGAACCGGCCTAGTCGACCGGCCGGTAGGACCGGTCCGGTTCCGGTTGGGGGAGGGGCCCCTGGTCCTACCGGGTTTACAGCACTGAGACACCCAATTCCCCTTGGGGTGCTTCTACACAGGTGTACGTAGATGAAGCTGGTACAGAGTCTACGGACACACCTACCTGACCAATGTATCATTCAATAGCCAAGCTGAAGAGGGCAAGTTTTTGTCAGTGAATATTATTCCAAAATTTTAATTTTCTGAATTATTTAATATTTATCTCCTCCGGCCCCTCCCCACCCCGCCGCCCCCCCTGCCCTTGGCCTTGCCTTGGTGACGATTTGTTGTTCCTTTTTGGTGGTTGTTCTGGTTGCCACTATGTATGTGTTTTATTCTTCTTCTATTGTCCGGCATTATTTTGCGAAGGAGCGTGAAGTATTCTGCCAAGCCAAGGATGACGAATCGAGGGTCTCAGATTTGTACTGTTTATATGATGATCTTATCAAACCACCGGCGTCGAGGATTTGCAACATTGGTGCATGCATGTCTTACCAGCTGCAACCAGGTGCCTGGGAAGAGTGCAGTGCCACGTGTGGTGGTGGGACCCAGATTAGGTTGGTGGGTAAAAATGATACCAAAATTTTTTTTTTAAAAGTTAAAAAAAGTTTAAAAAAAGTTGATATCGAAATTTTTGAACTGAATTGTTGTGCTCACGTAACTGTTGATGAACTGATCATGAATTCAAATCCTGATGGGGACAGACCGTCATTCTGGTGAAGGGGAGAAGTGTGTGCACTGCCACCTGTGATCATGGGATCCAGATCTTTTAGGTTGGTGGCTAAACTTGATATTATCCAACTGGCCTAGCTCAATTGGTACACCAGTGTAACTGATGGCATACAGACCTGAGTTTGAACTTCATTGGAAGCAGACGAGTAAAATACTACAATTCTGAATTTCCTAGTGCTGGTCAGTTCGATGATGAGCCTTTTTTTTTTTCCCGGCAAATGTTTTTTTTTTTTTTTTTTTTTTTTTTTTGGAAGTTTTAACATCATCATATAACCTCAAGGCCTTTGCTGTTCAAGGGGAGGAAGAAAAAGTTTTCAAAATTTGGATATCAAGTGTTATCAACAAGTTGAACTGAATTGTTGCCACATGTAAACTGTTGAGGAACTGCTAATGAGTTCGAACTTCAAATCCTGATGGGACAATAATGGTACTAACCCCTTTCCTATTCTTTTGTTTTCTATGCACTACACTAAAGGGAAAAGCGGGCCTCATGTAAGATGGCCCATGGGACAAAAAGGGACTCCTCTGGGCACGACGTGGGAGACCAACACATGCACAACCGAGCCAGCTGGGGGCCTGTGTTTGAAATGCCTGCATCTCAACGTCTGGAATCGTGAGTTGCAGAGCCGCGCTGCACTGGCCCACAACACCATGTCTTGTTTGAAACGCAAACGACCCCGCGTTTCATATAGTGCCGTGGTCAGCCAGGCTGAGGTGCTCCTTGTCCTTGGCTGTGGGAGACCAACACATGCACAACCGTGCCAGCTGGGGGGCTGTGTGTGAAATGCCTGCATCTCAACGTCTGGAATTGTGAGTTGCCGAGCCCCGCTGCACTGGCCCACACCATGTCTCGTTTGAAACGCAAACAACGCCGCGTTTCATATAGTGCCGTGGCCAGCCAGGCTGAGGTGCTCCTTGTCCTTGGCTGTCATCTGACAGGTTCAGGCTTTTCTTTTTTTTCTTTTTTTTTAAAAAACAGGCCCTTATGGTCCTGGCTCCATTTCCATTCTGGGGAGCATCAGTCCGGTTCCTATTCCACCGGCAAGTCAGAATAAAAGGATACATCATAAGTAGTTACCCACACTTCCTTCCTTTCGGCCGAAGGACCCCTGACCAGCATTGATTGCTCCAAAAACTTGGAGGATTAACTGTCAGCTTGCCCTGCTTCATCCTTTCCTCTCAGGTCTACTGCGAAAACCTGTCGTATAAAGCATGACTTAGCGAGAAAGGTTGTAGAAACTACTAAAGCTACCAATTTTGTCTAAACTGTAAGTCCCGCATGTAAGCCACATGAAAACTCTGCTATTCCGAACCCTGTTTGCCCTAATTCTGTCCAAACCCTAAACCCTAAACCCTCAACTATAGTTTTTATTTTCCATAAACATAAAATCCACTGGCCTCCACTTTCTCACCCGCCCTCCTAACCCTATGGTAGTCCTAGTTCCTGTGTCACCTTCTGGGCCCCCAAGGACACCTCACATCGCTCCTCCGTAAACCAATGAAAGATCAGTCTCTGTCCCTCTATGGTCGCTACTTTGCCTCGGGCCAATATCTTATTCTGAAATTTCATGAAGATATCCTTTGCCCTTTCAGGGTTGACTGATGCTTGCATTTTGGTCCTCTGCCATTGAGCCCTAATGTCTGTTTCCAATAGATTGTAGAGTGTTGTTCTGGCTTCCATTCTGGTCAAGGAATTTTTGCCTATCACCAGTTGACATCTCCTTTTCCAGATAGTCCATAATGTATACTGTCTCAATAGCGGGAAGATGTATTTTTCACTTTCCCGCCATCCCTTAGGTACTTCCCTTCCTATGAGCAAAAGCCTTATGTTTCTTCGAAAGAGAACCTCCGTAGTACGTTCCCAAAGTATACCAGCCATTGCCCAGATGTACTCTGTTTCTGGGAATTGAAGTAAGCAATGCACCAGCGTTTCAGGCACTTTCTCAGTGCACATAGTGCAGTCTTGCTCTGTATCATCCCTATGCTGCCTACTCCTTTTTTCATATAACCATGCGTTGATTGGGAGTGCCACATGGAATATAAGCCACTGCATACTCCGGATCTTACTCAACCTGATACTGTGTAGGCTTGACCATGGTATTTTGCCTACCTGTTCTCTTGGTATGCCCACCCTCTTCTCCCATCTTATCGCCAAAGGCCTATCCATCTGGTTCGACCTTTTCCTGAGCCGATACCCCCATTTAGTCGTATGCTGAAGTATGTTAATTCTCTTGACTACTCGTGACGAGCTTCCCCTGATGTTCCACGCCCATTCTATTGGATCCACCTCTAGATTCTGAATGTTGATTGTTGGAGCATATATTATGAATTCTCTATAACTCTGACCTTTCTCAAAAGATCTTTCTTGATGGTGATCGACACCCTCGAATCCTTATCCAGCTGACTCACTATGGTGCTTGGGGTCAAGATTGTATACATATCCGCTTCCAGCCACTGTTTAGCTGGTCCTACCTCCTGACCACTGCGAAAAGCTTGCTGTGGTTCCACACTATGAGACCAAGTTGCCCAATCACCCCATCCCCATTTGTATGGACCCTTCAACATCCTCGTCCACTCCTCCGGAATGGAGATTAGCATGTCATTCAGATTTTCGATTAGTCTGTGACACCCCTTCATTTCTTCCCTCAATTCTCTACTCGTTTTCCATCTTCCATGTTTCTGACCATAGATGTTTCACTTGCCATACTCCATGCTCCAACCAATTTCCCCACTTGGCATCCCTTGCTGTTAGTGTCCTTGGTTTTCCTTGGGGGTCCTTCAACCATGGATTACAAAATAGCGGTTGCCTGAGCACTTCCTTGCCGGAAAGATTTCTGTCCATATCTTAAAAATTTGGGCCCAATACGAACTCCTGATCGTCCCCTCTTCTCCCCCCTGTATTTCTTCTCTTCCCTTTTTGGCCCATCCTTTACAAAAAAAACAGAAAATTCCTTCGATATTAGGTGGAGTTTTATACCTGGCCATCCCTTGTATATGGTCTAATACCAACGGAACCCAGCGAAGATGGGGTTGTGTCACCAACTTGATAACCCATTTAGTTTGGAGTGCTTTGATCTGCTGTCCCGGGTCTAGGATGCCCAAGCCTCCTTGATCCTTTGACTGAATAACCTGTCTCCACGCTGCCTTGGAAATATAATTTGTCTTGGTAGGGTTCGCTGTCCACAGGTAGGCTGCCGCCTCCTTCCTGAGCTTGTTTAGTGAGTGTGAGGGAGGTGTCCATATTGTCCCGACGTACCATAATATGGAGAAGATAGAAGCATTTAATACTAGTGCCCTCCCAAAAGTATAAATTTCTGACCATGTTGACAGCTTGGCTAGCATTTTCGTCGTCTGCTCTTGTGCCATCGAGTGATGAGGACCTGTATCCGCTAGCCTGATCCCCAAATATCTCAGTGGCTGATCCGATGACACCCATGTCATCCCCCCATAATTTAGTGGATGGGCTTGAGTTTGTTGGTCAACATTTGAGAGCCACCACCCCACCGTTTTAGGCCAATTAATTTCATTTCCGAAGCCCGTTGGAAAGCGACCATCGCTCTCGTGAGGGCTTGAAAAGAGGAATCTGTAGCCCTAATTAGGACCGTCAAATCATCTGCAAACAATATCGTTGTAGGCAGGTATATGGCACGGCCCTGCTGATCCGGTTCCATTATCAGCCGATCTATCGATGGGTCTTTCTTGAGAAACGAGGCAATGGCCTCCATTATAAATAGGAAAATAGGGGCCGCCAGTGGGTCCCCTTGTCTAAACGACCTACTCATTTTATATCTCCCTGATAAATGACCATTAACTTGTACCTGACCATGGGCGTCAGTGTACAACACCCGAATCCATTTGCGGAAGTTAGGCCCCACTCCCATCTTCTCCATGCATTGTTGCAAAAAGTTCCAGTTAACCTGATCGTATGCCTTCTCAAAATAAAAGAACAGAATTGCTGCATTAATCCTCTTGTCTGTAATATACCTGACCGATTCTGATAAGGTCATTACATTATCCAATATAAATCTCCCCGGGATAGGAGAGCGGCAAGAGAAATAGAACTACAAAGGGCGTTACGTATAGCAAAAAAGAATTTAATCAATAACCCTGGAATGGAGATGTATGAGAGAATAATAGATTCAACAAGAAGGGAATTGGGAGATTGGGAGCGTTGGAGGGTGAAGGGGTTGCAAATGAGAGCGCGCATGAGGGAATGGGAGGAGGGAGAAAGAATGACGAAGTAATTCTTCCAAAAGATTAAAACACAGGGAAGAAACGCATGAATAGAACAGATGGAGGGACCGCAGGGTTCGGTGTCAGACCCAGAGGGGATGCTGTCAGTAGTCTATAACTTTTATAGTGCATTATACACGTCAAGGGAAGGGGATCATGAGTCGCACCATTTAAAAGAAGTCAGAAACAAATTTCTGACATACCTAGATTGTACAATAAAGGGAGGACAAGTACAAATGTTGGAAGCTCCACTGTCCCAAGAAGAATTGAGGGAAGCCCTGCAGTCGATGGCTCCTAACAAGACTCCAGGTAGGGACAGACTTACAAAAGAATTATGGCTGGAGTTTTGGCCCATCTTGGGAGGGGAATACGAAGCCTTCCTCAACGCATGGCAAAAAGAAGGTCTAGGGGTGGAATCGGCGACATGAGTTGTTACTCTTCAATATAAAAAGGGTGATCCTAAGGATGTCAAAAATTATAGACCTATTACACTTCTGACTCTTACCCATAAGATAGTAGCCAAAGCCCTTGCTGATCGATCGAGAAGGGTTACAGACAAAGGTTTCCATCCAGAGCAAACAGGTTTAGGCTT